AAAAACGCCAGTGTGACACGGCCTTAAAATGAAGAGCATTTTTAAGAGATTTTTATTCTCAAGTTTCCTTTAGTTTTCCGCTAGTTATCGCAAAAGTGCTGCGAAACAACTGAGTTGCTGTTATATGTGGTGTTGCGAGGATTGACGGAGTCGTACTTATAGAGAACGCGTTTCAATAATGATTAATTGAAAGGAAAAAGTCATGATACGGTGTTGAGTGCATTGTCAACAACAGCAGCATATCAGCTGCAACAAAATTGGCTTTTATTTCATGCGCGACTCTTTTTTGTTACCAGAATGCTTTGCCCAGTAAAACTATAAATACACGCAAAGGATTGTGGTCTTGTAGTATCAAAATGATGCAATCYTTCCAATCAAGGACTTATTGTACAATGTGGCACCCTTTTCAGTTCCTTCAGTTTTGCTTACCAGAGGTGTCATCTCCGCTACCCAGCGGGGGCTGCGACTTCATCGCAACTCCAGTTAGATAGGATGTTCCTGGGCAGTAAGAAGAATCTCCCCATGCTCCCCATGGACCAACAGCGGAATGGATTCCGGTTCGTCCTGGAATTCCGTCGTAACTTCTAAAARACAAATCAAATATATAAATGGTAAGACAAAAAGCGGCTGATTWACTGATGAAAATATATCTGTTCTTACTGTATTATATTTTTTCAGTTCATTAATGTTTCGGAGAGAGAAGATTTAAGAGAAGATTTCAGGAACGTTTCAAATTGTGTCCGATCCATAATGGTTGACGGACATGGTGCAAGTACAAGAAATAAAATAAACATTCAAGAAACACCTTAATCTAATGTCTATTCATAACACTCGTAATGATATGCAAAGATGAAATGTGGTATTTATAATCCGCGCGCGGATATACTAAAAATAGATTTGAGAGATTAGACTCCCCACGGAGATTCGGACAAACAAGAGGTCAAGTTTGTAGTGAATGTATGTAGCGAGACCATGTAACTTTCAATTTCATTTAGATTTCTCTGGATTTTTTATCAATATGATCGGAAAAAAGCACTGGCGTTCAGGCAGATGCAATACAGATTCACGATATACAGATAGAATGCCTCAGTCTCTCAAAGAATTTAAGAAAATTGAGTAAGAAAGTATTTATACCGTTCTTCAAGCCTTCTCATGACCTCGAACCATGCCTACAATGGATCAATTCTTGTTCTTGTAGTCCAACAACATCAATAAAACGGTAACAACGTGGCTGCATCAGCCAAGCACAGATACTTAAGTCACTTAACACGGTTCGCATGAAGCGTGTATTACCGCTCCACTATGTATGGATAAAGACTAATACATTATGAGGCAAGTTAGTTTCATAATAATGGTCGCTCTTGTCTGTTGCCCTTGTTACATCGCACAAAACGGGAATCGACATGTTTTCGTCCGTTTTTAAAAGGTTTGTCCGTCATAAGTCCTTCATCCTCGAGCGTATAGTTAGACTTATAGATAGTTTATTAAACAAAGATAAATCGCAGCCAAAGAGCTGGATTGGGTTATTTACTAAGTCATGTAAACAAAAACTATTTAAAAAACTGAGTCCTACATACAGTTCATATATTGATATGGAAGCAATTAGATCGTCAGAGACGGCACATGGCCAGGAACGCGAGCAACCAAGTCAACTCGCTTTCCTGGCACTTTTTGACCTCGACATCTCAACTAGCGTTTTAATTGCTTGACAGTATAGTTGTCTGGATTATTTTGGAGTTTTGAACCAGGAAAATCGTCATTTTCTGTCAAAAATTCTTCATTTTGGAGCAAATATAATGAGGCGCCAGTAAATTCCACATACATTTCTCTTGTATTGACCTCAACGTTTGTCCGAATGCAAGCGGGGGGTCGAAATCTGTGACGTAATATCCGCGCTGCGCTAAATGTTTTGGGAATAAACACGTGCAGGGATTGGTTATAAAGCTGAAATCGGTTAATTTCACTCCTTCCTGCTCAGTATCACGGTCAGACGGACTTTGGTGAACGGCCCTCCCAGCCCGCCCCGTTTGGGTCGTACTCAGGCCAAATGAACCGCTCTAGCCAAGCTGTCCCAGCTTGGCTGAGACCCCGCTGACCAATATTTTTGCCCATATCTCATTACAGCTGAGCATGAATGCGAGTGTTATTGAATAGAATACTATTTTTAAACAAAACCAAACAATTTAAAATACACTGATTGACGCTGCGGAAATGTATCGATCCGACATATTATATGATATCACAGTTACATAAGACATCCTGATATCTCTCTCAGTTAGTCAAAATATATCGAACGGCCAAATGTGTCTGTTGTCGGTCTGATATGGACTGGAGGACAACAACACAATCCTAAAAAGTGCGAGCACGCATCAGCCAAAGTGAGAGACAGCATAAAGCACGATATTGCATTAGAAAATGTTTTGTACCTAAAAAAAGTGAATGGTGCGAGGAATCGCTTACCGATTGCAAAACAGACGAATACCATTGACAGCAGTGTTATCACCGTTCTCTGGCTCCACTTTTAGTTGGAATCCGTAGGCATAATCCCCGGCACAACACCAGTCTATTTCAGCCCATATACCCCAATCGGTATTCGAGCGTGGTCTGATCGMCTGTACATAGTCTGATCGAAACAATTCTTTCGTATCTCCAGAACCAACAACGAACAGCAATGTCAGCAGTGCCCAAACCATGGTTTAAAAACTAAAAAAATAATAATAAATAAATAAATAAATAAATAAATAAAATAATAATAATAAAATTCAGCTATCGGTATTTGGTTGTTTCGCACTAAACTACTGTTCTCCAACTCAAAACTATGTGCGCGGGATTATGTCACTAGTGSAGGCTCCTGCATTCTGATTGGTTGTTGAACCGTCTACTCGTTATAGAGGACTGAGCTGAGAAGGCTGAGTGCATAACGGAAGTTATTATATATCAAGTGTCAAAGTTCACTTTTCCTAGTATCTTATTGGTCGAGAGTGTACTACGTGAAAGTCACAAAATTCTACTGTTTCCCGGCAACTGTCCACCAGCGGTCAATAATATGTTGTGGACCGTCAATAAGTACAAAATCGCAGAAAAACACTCTTCAGTGTCGTGAAAATGCCACATTTACGGACGGTGAATTCCAAAATTGTTTTGAAASATTTAATTTCGTCTACAAATAGTTATTATATTCATTGTGTTATTACATTGATTGATTTTAGTGACATTTGATGACTATTTGTATTGCCATTTTTCAGTCATTTTATCAAAATCTTTAATAAAAACACTTCATTTATTTACGTTTTTTGCTCTCTTTGACACTTGATATGATAATAAAGCACTTATTTACTGGAAACCTCGGGAAACAGTATGTTTTGCGGTCCCTCGACCGCTGATGTTTCCCTCAGCTTCGCTTCGGGAAACATCAGCGGTCTCGGGACCACAAAACATACTGTTTCCCTCGGTTCCAGTAAATAAGTGTTAAATGTTCAATTGATTTATCATATAATTATCTATGAAATACCTATATTTCTCCATTTCGTAAAATTGATATTTTCACTAGTGAAATTAACACATTCGAGTTTTCATTATATAGTGGAAGTAAGAAAAAAGGTATTTTACGATATGATTTGCTTTCATATGCTACGCTCATTCGTGAGAGATCTAAAATCCGTATCTCCGCGCGCCCATGAAATATCCTCTATTTATTATTACGAAAATGATTCAATATTTTTGTACCAGTCTTTATCAATAGGCCTTAGATTTTGAGTTATTGCGATAAGGTTACTGCAAACCTTCGCTTACTGCAAATCCCCATGTCTAAAAGTTATTTTTGCTTCTTTTTTGAAAAAAAAAAAAAAACTTAACCGTATTATACTATGTCATCTTTGACTGAAGAATAAGTCTAAGATTATTTTAGCAATAATTTTTTTTATAGCTGACACATTGCCTTTGAGAAGTTAGAACTTGTGAAAAGTTTATAGTAAAACCACTTAATTTTTGATTGTCAATTTGTAATAAATAGCCTATTGACTATAAGAGACGTTTAGATTAATTACAATTTATGCCAAGGGTTGTTTTATCAAACCAAGATATGAGTGTTTCCATGATGATACTCGCCCCAAGGTTTACAGCAACTCTAAACGTAATGCTACCTGCCGAGTTGTTTTCACCTATACTAGAAAGTCAAAATTGACATCATGATAACTTTTGAACAAAAATAAAAATCGATAAAGCCACGAACGGTTTTTGAAATTTTTTATGTTCAGATTGTTTTGCCATAAAAACCTTATTTTCAGTAGAACAGAAAGCTCTTGACTTATCATTCTTGCAAACAGTGTTCTTTTTTGCGTAAAAACTTGCGGTTCTATATTTCAAATCACTATTATTTTAGAAAAGTTCTTGACATTGTAATATTTATTCTTTAATTAAAATGATATATAGTTTATTAGCTTWTATTTCAATACGACACAATAATAAATTTTTAAACGAAGGGCAGTATCCTTGAATAAAGAGTCTTGGAAGCCTTGAATAGTTTTCAGTGAATCTATTTTATCCCTTGCCTTAAACAACCATGAAAATACATTTCATCGGATAATGATGGAATATAACTGATATATGACATTTTTCCTGGTAAGTAAAACGGGACACCAAAGAAATGTTTACCATTCAAACAAAGGCAAGATCTTATGCATTGAATGTAGTACCTTATAATGATGGTTGTTTACAGTGGTTGAAAAGCTCGAAGTTCCACTTGAAAAAATGCGATGCATGTAAATGATTTATTTTATTAAGATGCAGGTTTCCTGATGAAACTCAAAACGGTAATGACTTCATGAACTATTGAGTTTCTGTGAATTATTAAACGGTACAGAACCAGTCCAGTGTGCGAGATACACTATATGTCACAGCTTGTATCTTTAAGCTCCATGTACTCGCGTTTTTTTTTCGTCAATCGATGGCATGAGTACACCTATTTGAAAAACGTGTCGCAAAAGATGATATCATTGAGACGACAAAGGGCATTTTTTAAAAGTACTCGAGAAATTCGAATCATATTGCACAACATGTACTGAACATGAAATCTAGGAAGAAACGCGCCCCGAAACCAGTTAACTTGTACGTCGAAACAAAGAGAACTCACGGATGGATATATAATTGTTGTGAAAGGTGGAGTCAATGTCGGTTTATATTGCAAATATGGCAGCTATGTGACAATGGCACCAGCGTGGAACCATTACAAATCGTACTTTGATTGGCGTTAAGACGAGCTATGGGGTAACGACAATCGCCTGTACATCCATGCATCCGTACACCCATGCGAGTAAAAAACTTTATTCATTTTATTCCATAGAACACTATTTACAACAAACCGACAATTATTTTCATGTACTGTACGTAAACATATAACGAGTGCTATTGCTTGTTGATACGTGGGGCGATACCGTGTTGGTTTCCAGTCCCCAACAGATCACTATGAAAAAGTAAAGCAACTACAATATAATCCAACCCTCAACGTTTGTAATGAAAAACTATACTAAATTGGCTGTAAATTTAAAATTTTGTTGTACCAATGTAAGTGATTTTTTTAGTAGGGGTCTTTGGTACTTCCAAAGTGAGCAAAAGGACGCGGCGTAAACACTAGGCTCCGTGTAATATCAGCAATTTAACTGTACATAGGCTGAGGAATTTCTTACATGTATTTTGCTAATTCTCTAATTATTATGTTTAGTTTATTTAATTTTCTTGCAAACAATGATAAAAAATAATTCAAATATGTTCTAAGTGTCTTAAGTATAGTACTAAATGTCTCTGTGGTGTGGTGTAGATTGTAAAGATCTTATACAGTCAATCCCAGCAATGTTGTTCAGTTGTAAAGACGTAAAGAGTAAATAGTTTGCATATATCTTATTTTTTAATTTCTTTTCAAAAATATTCTACATAATAAGTCCAAGTGACTTCTTTGTCAATAGACTTCTGAACCTTTTACGTCACTACTTGATTTGCAATGCATTGTGGRTTCGGTTTCAAGATAAAACAAAAGAAATCTGCCATTTTCTGTCCCAAACATATCCTACAATGCATTGCGTATACGGTACATGACGTAAAAGCTGCAGAGGTCTATAAACATTGAATTCTATATTTATCACTCTAAAGCTTATAATTACAATTCTATCTGATAATCTATATTTATTGCAAATGACTTTGTTGTTGTCTTTACGTCAAGTAAACGACGTTGGGATTGACTGTATTTAGAAATGACGACATACAGTGGATAAATAATTACATGAAGAGCCTGGGGAGGAGTACTAAATCTCACCAGTGATTTCCGTGCCAAGAACTTTCATGACAGTTCCTACTAAATGTAAACTCCCTGCAACTAAAACCTGTACACGAGCAGCATTAACAACACTCTCAGGATACTCTAAGCTACCGTTAGCAATCGTAGGAATCAATGGGTCTCGACCAGCAGCGATCCATCGGATTGCTTGTGCTACACATGGAAAGATGGCCGAGTATTCACCGTCGTCGTGTCCATTTTTAATCACGTGATCATCATCTAGAGACGCGTGGGCCTGAAAACCAGCACCACGTAACGCCATCCACACACGTTGATTTTCAACGCACCATCGCAACTGGCTATCACGCGTGACGGTAAAGTTGCTTAAATCTACGGAGAAAGCAATTAATTAATTCATTAAAAAACTACCAAAATTGAAATTAACTTTTCAACTCGTTTGACAACAACGAACTAAAACAGCCTTTATTATATATAGTAATAATACAACCATAAAACTAAATTTTACAACAAGAAAATCAAACAATCAAACAACAAAGATTTAAAAAGTCTRCAATAACAAAAAAACAACAACAACAATCAAACAAACCAGATAATCAACTTTTTATTCCGACAAAGGAGTAAAGTCTGTAAGTTTCTGTTCTGCTTGATCACAATCAAACAACCAACAACCAACAAATCATTCTACAAACCAATCAATCTATTAACTTACCGACAAACCAACCAACAAACCAATCAATCTATTAACTAACCGACAAACCAACCAACAAACCAATCAATCTATTAACCGACAAACCAACCAATCTATTAACTAACCGACAAACCAATCACAACCATTCTACAAACCAACCAATCTATAAAGTAACGGACAAACCAACCACAAACCATTCTACAAACCAATAAAAATTGACGAACCAAACGACCAATCAGTCAACCATCAGACGACGTGAAAAAAGGATTACTAAATACAACGCATGGAAAATGATTTCTCTACTGTGGCTTGATGAATTACCTGAACTATCTACTTTGTCCATGTTGACAGCATTTGGAGAAAATACAGCATGATCGAACTTGAGATTCTGTGAACAACAAACGGACTGCTTTTATTGTCACGGACACTAACGATATGCTGTTAGAGCCCATGCACACAAAGCACACAGCAGGAAACAGAATTCATAGACTAGAGCAATATGTCTATGACCTGATCTTGAAAAAAATTATTCAAACTAATCGGTCTGAGTTGGAAATATAATTGTTAACAAT